AAGAAAGAAAAGAAAGAAAGAAAGAAAAAGAAAGAAAGAAAGAAAAACGGTGCGAAAGAAACCTATCCTTCCACCCATAGCGGGTATTAAGTGTTGCAAAACACATTTCCATAATTTCACTCAGGCGGCTGTGAATCAGATCTCCGCCATTGGACAGGTGGCAGAGGCTCATAGGCTCAGATAAAACCTTGGCAGTCACTCTCTTCTGTCTGCTCCACCCTGATTAGTAGCATTTCCCAGATAGATGGAAACTTATTAACATTTAATTGCCCTCTTTCTCCCCACCAAGCTGCGGAGTCTTTGGAGAAACCAGTCTGTCCTTTCAGATGAGGAATTAGTCATGCTAGCTATAGTTGCAACATAGACCTAAGGAGTTCTGTGTGCTTAGAAATTTCAAACTCACAGCCATTTCCATGGGTCTTACAGGGCGATGCACTATGCACTGTTGACTCTGGCAGCAAAGATTACAAAGGCTCTCCGCTGTGCATTTTAGCCAGCATTGCATTTTCAGAAACTTGCTGGATTTAGCTTTGTCCTCTCTGCCCTACCCCTGCCACCAACCCCTTCTCCGCCCACTTCTAAATTTTGGAGGCATTTTATATTCGGGAAAGATTGTGCAGTGAGTGAGCACTTAGTGTCCGTGATGCGGATTGAAGAGGCTGGGTGCTGTCTGTTCCGGCTCCATCATGCTCCCAGAAACATCTTGGTGAGGGACAGAGGGGGCTTACACACTTCTCTGACTGAGCTGCCTCTGGAAAATTCCTGAGCTAAATGAGGCACCACTATCTACTTACTTAATCACTATTACTCCCATTTTAATGACAGTCAGTTTACTTCCACTGGCAATGAAATTATGCCTGGGATGCTCATGGAGAAAATGTACTGTGTTTCTATCATATAAACAAACAAGGCTTTGTGTTTACAGTAATGGAGTCTGGAGCAAGGGAATCACAGAAAAACGTGAGGCAAAGAAGGACGAGTAGGGGATGGGAAATAGGCGGCTCTGACCTGTGTGAACTGAAACGAAGAGCCACCTAGCCCTGTCTTCTGGGAGCTGGTCATCTCATGCATTTTCTGGAAAATATGAAGGTGATGGAGAGCCAGAGTGGATCTCACCTCATTAAGTGGTTGTTCTTCCCTCTTAAATGATTCAGGCTTCCCTCCATGTGTTCAAACTGACTTGACACTGCTGCCCACATATTTTATTTGGGAAACCAGTTTTTCTCTTTTTGGAGCGCCTGGCTGGCTCAGTCGGTAGGGCGTGCAACTCTTGATCTCGGGGTTGTGAGTTCAAGCCCCACGTTGGGTGTAGAGATTACTTAAGTAAATAAAACTTTTTTAAAGAAGAAAGCCAGTTTTTTCTTTCATGAATCTTTTTTTTTCTTCTAAAGCTCTTTATAAGAGCTCTAAATACAATCACCTTGTCTCCCTCAGCCTTGTTGGTCCCCTTCCTTCTCTCTCGGTTGTTCTTTCTGGATTTCACATAACCCACTCGTTGAAACCTCTAAGATCCCCAGAGGTGAAGTGAATGACGCAGTGCACTGTGTGAGATGTCATCTGATGGCATGTTATGAAATCCCCATCACAGCCCTGCAGGTGGATAACCTCTCGCTTTTCTTCTGCAGGTACGGGTTCATAGAAGGGCATGTGGTGATCCCCCGTATCCACCCTAACTCCATCTGTGCTGCAAACAATACAGGGGTGTACATCCTCACATCCAACACCTCCCAGTACGACACGTACTGCTTCAATGCCTCAGGTTGGTTCCAAGTGGATGGTTTTTGTGTTTGGGGTGGCTTTTGGCTTGCGAGCCTCTGTCAGCATGGCTGACGGCCCTTTCGGTCTTGGCTTCAGTGGGGAGTCATGGAGCTTCCATTCACGTAACAGATGCTCACTGAACATCTCCACCGCAAGAGACAAGCGTCCTCTCTCCAGGGTGCTGACTTGCTAGGCAGGGAGGCCGGCAGGAAACAGAGAAATAGTCAAATCCTCATATGAAGTCAGAGAGTGATGAGTGCTATAAAAAAGAAAACAAAGAAAGAGGCTTCCTAGTGTTTGGGAAGCTTTCGTCTGGGAAGGTGGCCGGGGAGGGGGCCTGTGAGAAGGGGCGTTTGAGAGAGAGCCCCAGCTGGTGTCAGGGAGGAAAACCATGGGCAGAGAGGACAGCAGTGCCAAGCCAGGCGTGGGGGAACATTGTGGCTTATTGTGAGGACACCGAGGAGGCCAGGGTGGATAAAGTCTGGCAATCAGAAGGGGGGAATGCCACGGAATGAAGTCAGAGAGGTAAGCAGGGGCCCGGTCCCGTAGGGCCTTGTAGGCCATGGTGGAGAGTGTGGATTTTATTCTCAGTGTGATGGGAAGTCACTGCAGGCTTTTGAATAGGGAAGTGACATGAACCCAATGATAGTATTGGGGTACAAGCCAAATGGCTTGGCTGGGAGGTATTTAGTCTATGTTGGGCCTGGAGAGAAAGCTGGGAGGATATAACGTAGGACTTTGACCTTCTTGAGTTTCCTTTCCCAACAGTTGAGAGCCTTGACAATTAGAGAACAAGAAAGCCAAGTTCAGATGTGTGTGCTGGGCTGCAGGCCAGGCCCCTCTGCCTGTAGAAGGGACTTGCTTCACAACCACTGCCCTAGTCTAATTAGTCTAATTCAGGCTCCAGCAGAATTCAAGAATTCTATGCATCGTGTATCTTCAGGGTCTTTTGAGAAGGGTCAAACACACAAATGTCAAGCTTTTGAATGCCAGCAGTCAGATGTTGTTTGACTACTCGCTTCTTCTCAAACTGGACCTTCTCTTCCTCAGGAAGGTCTGAGGTTGTGTGGAGGAAAGATGGAACCACGAGGTAAACTTGACACGTCTTCCTGGCACATCCATTTTCCTTAGAGATGGGAAGGAGGGTGTTAAGTTAGCTGGAAACTGATTAAAGGCATTGTAGGAGACAAACACAGGTGTTATTCTATGATGACGTAAGGCATTGTTTGCATGAGACAAACACAGGTATCACACATATGGTGGTAGAATATAAAATCTGCACGGGATTTTTCAATGCAAGTAGAGGCATCAAAGTAATTGCGAGATTACGTCAGTAGCTTTCGGCTGTGCCGGCCACCCACCGTGGCGTGAGCAGTAGGGATGGGAGTGGGAATTCAGAAGAGAAATCTAGAGATAAGGAGAAAGAGAAAGTTCAGGTTGATTAGTTGAAATGGTGTGTGTGAAGCCAATACATTATGTCAAATATAGGCAAGTTGCTAAACCTCTGGGGGGACACTCACAACAAGGAGAAGAAAACTATATAGAGTATTTCTTCTGCCCTGGTATATGAGTGAGGAATGCAAATGGAGTTTAACCAAAAAGAGGAGAGTCCCCATGAGGCTAAACGATACATGACCCCTACCCAGTTCCCATACCCATACCTAGAACGTCCGTTCTAATGACACGATAATGAGAAAAACCACATGCAAACAAAAGAGAAGTAGACACAGAGCAACATGTGGTCACAATAGCTTATCTTAGCGCCGAAGGTCAGAGGGGGACCCTGGGAAGACTTCGTGTTTTAGATGAAGGGGCTGATCATGTGGGACTGAGCTAGTGTGGGACCGCATACTCAAGAGTGTCTGGGTACTACCCCTTTTGTCCCCCACTGAACCTTGCGAGCACATGGATGCAATAAATTACGTTGTTGCGAATCCACATTGTCTCACCTGTTTTACAAGTTAGTCTCACTTCCTGGAAAGAACTTTATCTCAAAAAGGTAGAAGCTCACATTGTTTGATAGCCGGGAATGGCAGCCATCTGGACAAGTTACTACTGAGACTTGTCTCCCTGCCCCTTAGTTATCCTATAAGGTTGGGTCTAGCCTCAGAGAGGAAGTGAACCCTCCTGATGAACTTTCCTCTTCTTTGCGGGGGACGTGTTAATCCAGCTGAAAAGCTGGAGAAGTTCTGGGGGTGTATTCATACCCAAATGGCTATCTTAAAGTAGTAAAGTTTAAGGAGAAGATTTTTCCTTTTCTTTTATCCAAATTTACTTAATGGGAATAGACTGCTTTTGTAATTTTTTCTTTAAGTTTTAAAAAGAGGATTTATGGACCAACTATATGCAGTCAGGACTCTGCTGGGTAAGTAGGGTGAGAAAGAACCAGTGGCCGTATTTCTTGTCTTGGGAGGTAATCTCGTTGAAATGATGAAACAAAAAAATAAAGAAGCTGGAGAAGAATGTTTATCTGAGGATAAATAAATTCCAAATGTCTTAGTTTAGAGTCAGATAATAGAGGTGCTAAGTGAACTATGAATCTTGATAACCTTCTGCTCTAGGCAGACAATCTCATTGGAAAGGTCCTTGAGTTCAACTTAGCTTGAGAGTTGCAGGCAGGTGGTGAAGACCCAGTGATGTGACCTCCTACAAACCCTTTTGGTCTACAAGGACCAAAGCCAGCTCAGTCTTAGCAGATAGCTTCCATATGCGTCCAGTTTCAGCAGTATTTTTGTAAAACATGGCCTGTGGTTTACAGATGAAAATATGGCAGACCCTGGAAAGGCCCCATGATTCTGATTTTGATTGCCTCATGTCTCAGTAAGGCCCAGCGCGAGCCTGGTGACTTCTGTGTTAAGAGCCCAGAGAACTGGCTTGAATGTGTTCATTTCTTGAGTTTGCCTCCAGTAAAATGCTCTATTCTCTGTTGAAGGAGGAATTTAGGAGAAGATGTTACATTCATTTGTCTATCCATTTGCTCATTTATTCAACAAATATTTATTGGACTCCTAGAATATATCAGGCATTGAGGAAGATGTCTTCCTATCGGGCACTGAGTAATTGGCTAGACTGAATAATTAACATTGTTCTTGGCTATTTGGGGGCAGTGGAGACACAGTTTAGAGATGCAGCCCACCAGAAAGCCCACCCCAGAGTCTTTCTAACAAATCCTTAGGTTCAGGAAAAGCTCACCAGGCCCGATGCTCCTAGCAGTGCAGTGCTCATTAAACAGAATAAGAGACTGTCAGTGAGGCCCTGCTATCTGACATAGGAGCGTGAATGTATTAATTGCACATTTGGGTCACCATTCATCATAGTGTGCTTGCCAGATTTGGTGTTCTTTATAAAAGTTAAGGGGAACTGGAGCATGAAGAGGCTCCATTTGAACAAATGCTCTAATGATTTCCAAAACTGTCTTAGTGTTTTTTACATGGTGCCCCATTCTGTTACAACCTAACCCTTAGAAATTCCTTCCCAGGGCACTACTATTGCCTGAATTTGGGGATTCCATCCCTGCCACAAAGAAGTCATAATCCAAGACCTGTTTCTGGGTCTGTGCAACATGTAGTATCAGAAGCTTCTCATGGGTCAGGCCGGTTGCTGGTGGTGTTACCAGAACAGACAGGGTAGATACTCTTCAAGATCTCCCAGGGTGGCCATTTGCCCTGCTTTTCAAATGAGGAAATAATTGGGAACATTTTTTTGAAAACTGTAAAAATCTAAAGAAATATTAATTGTTATTGTCGCCCATGACTTTGTGAATTCCTTAAAAGCAGGGACAGGAACATGTTCATCTTTTTGCTCCTTTTTTTTTATCTGTCACATGAGTAATGCTTAAAATGCATAAATAAACTGATATATCTTAAACTTTTTAAAAAGAATTTCTTATGGCATTGCCATTCGTGGTTTATCTAAACATTTCTTGACAAGTTTATCACTGCAGACCATTTGCGGGGGGTGGTTAACATGGAAGCATAGGCCTGTGGGAATTATACTGATACTTTCTCTTTCATTCATTCAACAAGTATTTATCGAGTGCCTCTCTGACCCCATCACACATAAATGTTCTGGCCAAGATAGATGAGATCACTACTCATCACTACTCCACTTATATAGTTCTTCAGAGGTGGGTGGGTAGCAGGGGTTAGGGGTTGGGAGATGGGCCATGAACAGCCATCAGGTAAAATGAACAAGATGATCTGATACAGCAGTAAGCCAGAAGGAGAACTGCAAGCAAAGATGTGATGGTGATATATGGGGGGAATTGGTAAGGGGCTGGTTGAGATTGGTTGGTGAGGAATGGCCTTACTGAGGAGATGACCTTCTCTGAGATTCTCTTCGGGGATGTCTTTTACTTAGCCTTTGCAAGACTGACTTTTCCTAAAACCTACTTTTCTCCAGTGACTATATAAATGTCAGTTTCACGATGAGGCCAAAGAAACAGGCAGGTAAAGGGACATGCCCTTTACCTGTAGGAAAGATGCTTCTG